TTATTGGGTTATATTACCTAGTAAAAGTGTTAGATATTAAGAGTAACGGAGGTAATATCAGTGATATTTGTAAACGAGGAGATGTAAATAAGGTCGTACCAGAAGATAATAGTGATGTTGTTGAAGATGAAGATGAGGATGTGAAAGCTGAACGAGAAAAAGTGGCTCAGTTAGATTCACGTCCTAATAGAACAGATGTATGTACACACCAGGGCTTTTTAATATTTTTTTTTAATTATTTATGCCAGTTGAATAATTGGGCATAACCTTTGTAAATTTTAAATTTGCCAGTTACAAAATTTGCAGGGGCTTAATCTTTCGGTGGACATTGGAGAAACTTCTTAAGGGAAGGAGTGGAAGGGCCTCATGTAGTAGACACTTTGTTGCAGTCTAGTGTCTCACACTTGGTAAGCAGCTTTCGAAATTTTTTATTTGAAATTTTTAACTTGTTGTCCATATTAATTATTTTCATTACTGTTAAAAAAATGTCCCTCATTGCACACAGCAAGTCACTTCTCATTGATTCAATGCAACATTGTATATTTTTATTTTTAGGCTGTAGCGTATGTTAGTAATTTACGTAAAGAATTTAAGAAACGTGGGAAATCAGAGTTCAAGATGAGCCAATGTAAATCAGTAAGAAAAGATGATGAAATTAAAATAGCGGTGAGGAACGCTACTCTATCAGTACTACCTGGAGAGGTGTTCGGTTTACTCGGACCCAACGGAGCAGGAAAGACAACTCTTATGAATATGATTATTGCTGAAGTTGGGGCTACCAGAGGCAAGGTGAGGATTTCAAAAACTATCTGTCCTGATGAGGATTATGTATCTGAAACATGTGCTGTCAAACTCTAGTCAATGAGATGTTTTGTTTGGTATATATTTTAGCTCTGTGTCTCCAGATGATTGCAACAAACAAAATGTTTTCTCTGGTGTTCAGAATATAAATATCTTTAACCTTCTTCTATCTCCATAAAACTGCTCTGCTCTCTCTAGTTTGATACAATAGTTTCGTATTCTGCAAATTTTCCAATTTGTTTGACACAAAAGTTTGTGTGTTTAAATTTCAGGTGATTTTGAATGGTCACAATATTAACTCGAATATATCAGAGGCTTTCCAAGGCCTGGGTTATTGTCCTCAACATGACGCATTGTGGCAGACTATCACCCTCCGTGAACATCTAGAATTATACGCAGCTATTAAAGGAGTTCCGAAAGATAAAATAAGTCCACTTATAGACTTGTAAGTATACTGTCAGATTGTAGCTTGCTTAGTCTTACGTATTTTCCCCCATAATAGACCTTTTTCAGGCCTTTCTTTTGAGACACTGAGAGCAAGGCTCATAACGCAAATCATCCATTGATTAGATGGCAACGTTATATGAATGAATAGCCTAAAGCCTATGTGACGTCACTGAACACTGATAAACAGCACGAAAATGGCGAAAAAATGGGCTTAAAAACTGTCCTTTCTCAGAAAGGTAAAATTCATCTGAAAGTATCATTATATGGCTTAATCAACTCTGATTTTAATGATGTAAAATATGATTAGTTTTGAGTTAGTGGGATTGGAGAAGCAGGCTTTAAAGACGTCAAGTTGGCGAATTTACTGAATTGACACGATGTTACCTTTGTATTTCATGTTATGAGCCTCGTTCTGAATTCAATATGGCCGACACGTGAATAAGTTCTATTTCCTTTTCAGTTATGTTGATAATTTGAAAGTGGGAGAACATGCTAAAAAACATTCGAAGAAACTATCAGGTGGAACCAAAAGAAAGGTATGTTCATCTATAATTTGTCTGTTTTTCTGAAAAAATTGTATCCATTAGCGTTGATCTCTCGAAATGGATTTTAATTATTGATAAGTTATTTTTGATCTCTTGATAAAATTAAAAAAGACTGGTTCTGAAAACCATTTTTATTTTGTCGTTGTCGTATATTCAAAAAGACTGAAGAACTGATATTTGCTCTGTTTCTTCAATGAAGTTGTTGGTCATTGCTAAATCTAAGAAATTTATTTATTATTTTAGCTTAGTTAAGTTCTTGCAGAAAGTGATTGTATTTGATATGTCTAAGA